TTATGGTGTCTTACCTGTATATCCGAAATCATTGTCCATTTTGACCACTCAAATGGCAAAATAACGTCTTATGTTCTTCATAAAAGTTGTATCTTTACTTATTATCTTTCCAACCCATCCTCTTGTATCGAATTTGGAGATACATAGCTCAACTTATGGCTGAAACACCCAATCTGACTCTGTTGTGATGGGCTACATGCATCACTAAATTGAGTGCCCATTTTGACCACTATAATGACAAGATTAGGCTCTGAGTTATCATAAAAGTTGTTTCCCTGTGTCTTGAGACTTCTCTCGTTCTGGATTGGTTTCATTTGAGTGTTTGGTTAAGTAGGAATTCAAGAAACATTGGACTTGAAACATTGGATTGGTTCTGCTCGGATCAGGTGTCTGAAATCTGTTTGGCTATGTTCTGAGCGTGTTTGTGTAATGAACTATCTTACTCTTGTGCATCTGGCTGTAGATCCCTTCTGAACATTAATTGTAGCATTTAGGACTTAGCTTTCCAGATGAATCTAATTTCATTCCTAACTTTGGAGACCATAACTCAAATGATGTGTTAAAAACCCAGCAAAGGTCCAAGTTTATAACAATGCTGAAAAGTTCTTGATTATGTACTTTTATATATTATATTATAGTATATATACAATTTTATAGTGTTTTAGTAAAAATATTTGTCGGGTGTTTGAACTGCATGAGTAACCTAAGAAATGAAGAGGTTTTGATTAAGGGAATTATTGCGTTTTGTGAAAGACATGCTTTTGAAATGTTAGCTCTACTATGCATAGAGTAAGTTGAGAAATTTTGAAATGATGGGTATTAAGTAATGAAGTGTTTTGATTAAAAATTTTGAGTAAGTAATAAAGTCCTTTGTGAAAGAATGATTTTGATTTGGGCTCTATTATGCATGATTGAAATGTAGTATGATGAGATTGAGTTTGTTATGTGAAGTTATGATCATATGCTAGGGTTATCTGCCCTTATAAATAGGCGGACACGCTTAATTGTGTGATGGGGGGGCGCTTTCATAGGCCACGATTGTGTAATGGGGGTGGCACTAACATAGGCCAAGATCAAATATGCTTATGTTCATTCTGTATGAGTACGAGCCTTAACTAAAGAATGAAATTTTATTTTTGCTATAAAAGAATGAAGAAATATTTGTATTTATAATCTTCTTATTGCTTTCAAAGTGTTTTAATTAAATTAATGCGATTTCGGTATTTATATAATTGAATTAATAATGAATGCGATTTTCGGTATTTTATCATTTTGAGTTAAATTTAAGTTTTGGCCTTGGCTATTGTTAATTAATAATTGTTACGGTGAGGTTTAGCATCCACTGAGTCTTTCCCAATACTCACGGGCGTTTGTTTATTTATCACGCGCAGAAGTTATGTGAAACGGGAGGTGTTTCTTCAAGACCATGAGACGAGCATCAGAGTAGAAATATCACATCGTGCGTAGGATATTTTGTTAAATGGTGATTTTTGGCATGATATATAAATATTGTGTTGTGAACGTTGGATATAATAAGTTTGTCATGTTATAACAGTTATGTATTATTTAAAGGAAATAACACCTTATTATATTTTTTGTGTATGATGATTTATGAGATTCCCTGAAAAGAATGTGTTTCGAATATTATGCGTTATATTGATGGAATATTTAGACAGTGCTGTAGTATGTTGTTTGAATTGCGAGGTTTGGGGGTTTAAACAAAAAATTGGGAAGTGTGTATATTTTCTTTGTGTGTGGCAAGTAAATTTTTAGGGAAACTCTGTTGTGAAATTTTCGTAGGAATTTTCTTAAACATTATTTTGCTAAAAAAAATAAAAATTAATAATACAAAAAAAAAAACTGTAATTACTTGCCTCCTATGAAAATTTAACCACTTCTAATTTGTGATCTAGCTTTTTATATGACATAAGATTGGTGCTCGCACCGATGTGGCATCCACCGCTACTGGTTCTCTGAAGATTGGGTCTTGGCGTTACATTATGTGTTAATATAGAATAATCAGAAATGAATATTATGAATTATGTTTATTAATTAAAAACTTAGTCTAGGTCCTACCGAAAATTTCGACAGCATCTCCCCTAAAAAATAGGATCTATCTACCCTGTTAAAATATCACAATTAAATTATATACTTATCAATCAATGCACGCAGCCCATCCGTCGTTTTACTCATTGGGCCAATTCACAACACCACTGTAACCGTCCCAGGCCATATAACCTAGTTTCAATCATAGATCAAATCAATTCAGACAGCCCATTCAACTTCAAGCTACATTTATATTCAATCCATCACAACTTACATATATCCCTTAATAATTTTCAACATAAATTAACTCCAAGCCATGAATGCCAATAATAGTGTAATGCTTCATATATAACCTATTTTATCTTAAAATTTATATGTAGACTTCTCAAACCTAACCGAATATTTATTTAAAGATTTCGTAATAATTAAACTTACATAAAATTAGTTTAGAAATTTTTCTATCGTCAATATCGAAACCTCCTAATTATTAATTATAGCTCATGGAATTTATTGTGGACAAGTTCTAAAAACTAATTTGCAATTACGTTATTCTAAAATCCAAAACCCAGATAACTAAATACAAATCCCTGTCATGTATCGCAATATACCAGACACCACTCATATCCAAAATATCTAATTATTTACAAATACAATATTTAAATGTCCCACATATTAATTATATATAATATATATATATAATATTTATATATATATTATACTTAATATATACTATATATATTTAAAGCTATATCCAATAACCTAATTTTCTTATTATTCAATTTAATCTATTTAATTACTCAATTTAAATTCATTAATCAAAAAATTAATCTTTATATACAAAATTGAGGAATGGAGTCTTAGAAATCGTACAATGAGAATCGCGGGCGACGATTCCGTTGATCAAGCGTTGAAGAGAAGAGAATTCTGTCTCTCAGGTGTGTGGCCTCCCGGAGTGTCGCCGTACCAATTGAGAATCGGGCGACGATTCCGTGATCAGCGTGAAGAGAAGAGAATTCTGTCTCTCGGGGCCTCGCCGGAGTGTCGCCTGTCGGTCACCGGAATGCCGCCGCCGGCAGCCATGCACGGTGGCCGTAAAGTCGATCTTGCCCAGAAAATTGCAAGATTACCACCACCCGACTCAAATTTGCGTAAGGAGTTCAAATCTACCATCAATTTGATGAGCCAATGGCTCGTTTGGCCGGAACAAGCCTGACAGTCAAAAAGAAAGCCACCGATCATGGTGGTTTCACCAATCTTCACCAGAAATCCGATCTAACAGAGGGGAAAGGTTCGCACGGAGGAGAAGAAACGATCAACGCCTCTCCTTCTTGCTATAACCGCCGAAAATAGCGAGGATCGCCGGAAATCTTATCTCGCGACCTTGAGATCTCCCAGTCGCGATCTTCGTCGATTCTGGCCTCTATTTTGCGAACCAACACTACCAATGAGCTTCTCTCGTCGAGAGGATGAAGATTGAGGGCTTGGTTGCCGGGGTCCATGGCCGTTGGTCGGAGATCGCAGTGAGCCAGTGGGGAGGGGCTGTCGTGCGCGCCAGAAGAAGAAGAGAGGAAGAAAAAAAAAGAAACTAAGTCGGTTTCTAGATCATTCCGGTTCGATTCGAATCGGTTTGGTCTGATTCAATGATTTGGCTCGATTTGCTTGGTTTCGGGTTTTTCACATGGTTTGCCGATCCAATTAAATTTATTTTGAATTGATAATATTCAATGGCCCAGATTTGGCTCGATTTGCTTGGTTTTCGGGGTTTTCACATGGTTTGCGGATCCAATTAATTTATTTGAATTGATTTAATATTCAATGCCCAAAATAATTCTTGAAGAGTTTAGAAAATTCTCGGTCAGGGGTTACGGTACTATACTTTGGGCTTGGCCCAACTCTCGAATTAAGATTATACAGTACCTGCAGCCCATACAGTTGAAAATTCTAATTTTTGATTTAATAAAAATTCGAAAGTTTTGAAAATAAAAATTCGGAATATTACAATTAATTAAACCAGATTTCTTTTTTTAGAAGAAATCAAACTAGAAATTTCATTAATTGAAAATTGTATATAAATATGGGATACAGATCGATATGTTTCTATATTTTTGTATAGCAAGTCTAATATAAGCCACTTATACAAAAAATAAAAAAAACACAATCTTAATTTAAAGTATCTGACAGTGTTGACAGAGCATAATATTTATGCATAGACGATTGCTTATTCCTTTTGGTAACTATTCATGGCCATTATTCGACTCCATGGTCTTTCTACAAATCCAATCGGATTACTTTCAAATTTTTTCCTTTTATTGGAGATGAGATCTGCACTTCTTTCTTCATAATTATCCAAAACAATAAAAGACATTTACAAAATCACTATAATTGGAATAACAATAACTCAAAAATAGATCTGAGAATAAAATTCCAAGATATGGTCAACAATAAATTTCAATATTTTTGTGATAATAACTCATAAATAAATCTGAAGATTATTTGCAAAAAAAATAAATAAATAAATAAAGGGATGACCACCATTGAGAGTTCACCAGCGGTCACCTGTGGAAGAAGAAAAGAGAGTTTTAGGTTTTAAGTTTTGAGACGGATAGAGAAGAAAAGAGAGGTTTTAGGTTTTGAGAGGGAGAGAGACGGGACCTAAAGAAGCTTTTTAATTAAACCAGATTAGAGAATAAGGTTTAATCTAAAATATGTACTTTCTAATTGAGTAAAATTCAGATTTCAATTAATGTATCAAAATGATCCCATCACATCATTAATATATGATTATTTCATTTTCCTACGGTACCTTCTGAAAATATTCCTATGTTCGAGAGCAAAAATCGGAGTCTGACTGATATGCATACATCCACATCCGTCGGATTCAATTCATTTCCATCCAACGGTCCTATTCGCTGAAGACCGGCCGTTGAAACATGGACCAATTACATACAGTAACGTCTTCATCAACCTTCCGAGAATATAAGGGCCCTTTTTCTCTCTCCGCCCATTCTTATATATACATTCATTAAACATATTGAATCGATTCTTACATTGCATTTCACTTTCAGCAATTCTTTGTGAGTAACTAATTCTTATTTTATCTTCTTCAATGGCTCTAAACTTTTTGTATTCACTTTCTTTTTGCAATGTTTGCCCTTTCCGGTTTACTGATACTGTATTCTTGTTTTATTTCTTCCTTAAGCTTGTTAGTACTTTTTGGATTCTGCATCTGGTGTGCATGAAAAAAGTAAAAGAAGAACTTGTGGGTATTTTGTAACTATCAAATGGGTTAGGTTTAGTGTTTGCTTTGAAGTGTATATAGTGTTTGATTTACTTCATTCTACCTTTGCAGCTACCTAGTGGCCTGTGGGTTCTCTCTATTGGCTGGTTTTTGTTTCGCTTTCATTTCATTTCATTTTGTGTTTGATGGTACTGTTCTTTTTTTTTTTTTTTCCTCTCTCACTCTTTTTAGGTTGTTTAGAAGAACAAATCTTATTTTTGGGTGGTCATGTTTTGGAATCTGCATCTGGTCTAGAAACCCTCTTAAAAATAAAATTTTTTATATTTGTTAATTTTTAATGGGTTTGGTTTTTCATTGGAATGCAGTACTGTTGATTGATTTCATTGTAATTTGAAGCTTGCTTGTGGGTTCTCGCTGGTCTGAGTTCGCACAGTCTCTCTGCAATCTTTTTCTTCTTTTATCCTGATTTGATTTATGTGACTTTTCTCATCTTTGTTAAGTTTTTTATTTTTGATTTGTTTAGTATTAGCTAGAAAATCTGATTTTTAACTTTATTTTACTTTTTTGCTTGCTTGATTTGATCAAATCCCACAGTGTTTTTTCAGTAAGTATGCTTCTGGGCTTTTTGTTTAACTATTCTTTTTCTTTTTTCTTGGCTCTTGCTTCTCTTAATGGCTCAGAGTATATGATTTATGTAGTAGTCTAATTGAAATGGTTCTGTTCAGCTGGGGGTGATTGTGGTTTATTTGATTAAGCTATAGTGCAAAGTCAATATGGCTAATGATGGTGGAGAAGGAAGCGGGAAAAACTCAGGGTTTCCTCATGTTGTCCTCAATGAAAGGATTCTTTCTTCAATGTCGCGAAGATCTATTGCTGCTCATCCCTGGCATGACTTGGAGATTGGTAAATTTTCCCCAATGCTTTACCTTTAGTTTCTTAATCTTCTGTTTTGGGTACAGTTCCATGATTATAATATTTTGCAATCTGTGAATATTTGCATTCTCTCCTGATTACTTTCAATATTACATTTGGTGCAGGACCAGGTGCTCCAGCAGTTTTCAACTGTGTAAGTTTTGTTTACTTTAGTGTTCTGTAAGCTCTTACTTGGGTACCTACAAGGCATTCGACCAGCATTGATTGAATAATCTTTCTCTTCACATAGCAGAACTGGTGAGATTTGATTGTTCTTGTTTGATTGCATTTGTATTTAATGGAGGAATGAATCTATGGCTGCAGCCTGCAAGCCATGTGCATTAAATAGTAAAATAAATAAATAAATAAATAAATTCTTAAGTTCCAAAGGCAACTGCGAGCCTCAACTTGAAGTCATGTGCCTTAGGCATGGCTTGAGGCCATTGGAGGTGTGTGGCCAAGGGGGTGGATGAGCTTTGTGCCTAGGTGTGCTCATGGTAGTTGTTACTGCAACTTATAGAGTGATGCTTAAAATAGGGATTTATCACTTTGACAGACAGTTATCTCTTAATGCTCTTGTGAAGAAGATTATTGATTAATGAGTCTGGATACATGTATAATTGTTGCTCTTGGTAGATTAGGATGTAAGTTCTTCTGCTGAAGAGGATAATATGGATTTCCTAATGTGGATTTATAATGTCAGGTGGTTGAAATTGGCAAAGGTAGCAAGGTTAAGTATGAGCTTGACAAAATAAGTGGTCTTATAAAAGTACGAACTTCCTCCTTCTTCATCTCAGCTTCTGCATATATTTTGACGAACTAATACTTTGCTCTACTTTTCTGAATATTATTTCAAATGCATTCTTTTGTACAACAAGTTTGTCTCATTTTACTTTATATACTCATAAAATGGTAAAATGCTTGTTGCATTATGGACTTTGGATAAATGTGATGCTCCTTGTCTCTCATCTTTTCTTCTTATTTCAGTTTTAATTTTAAAATTTTCACAACTAGGAGTCCACCCAAATAAATTTTTGCCACTTAATATATTAGTGCAGAAGAACCCATCACTTGTGCATTGGAACCCATCACTTGTGCATTGGAACAAGACCATATGAGTTTCAAATCCTTGAAATATACTAAGGATCATTTGACATTATTGTTTGAGCTGTTGTTGAGGAGAATGCTGCTGAAAATGTTGATTAGATGTCATTAGATTTAACTTTTAAAACGAATTTCACATGTCCCAGTTATGAAAGCTTTAAAATAACTAAACATTCGCAAATGGCTTTAAATGAATTCTTACTTGCATACAATTAGCTTCATTATTTCAGCAGGTGTTCAGAAAATAATTGTCTTTGTTTCATATGATATTTATTGAGGTCACTGTGTTACTGGGGTATTGATGTGAATTTGTTGTGTGTTGTCTACTTGTCTTAAATGAAGAACAAGACAATGGCTAACATTTTCATGAATAGGTTGATCGTGTTCTCTATTCATCTGTTGTTTACCCACACAACTATGGTTTCATCCCTCGAACTATCTGCGAAGACAGTGATCCTATGGATGTTCTGGTACTTATGCAGGTAGTATCTTGTGCCTTGAACAGTTCCAAAATGAGAATAAACATGTGTGTAGATCTCTGTTTACTTTATAATGTGTTCTTGGATTTTCTCTGTCATAGGAGCCTGTGCTACCTGGTACTTTCCTCCGTGCACGTGCCATTGGTTTAATGCCCATGATAGACCAGGTAATAAGTTTTAAATTTCCATGCCTAAGTTTGTATTGTTAATAAACATTCTTAGATAACTGACAGCTGATCGGAAACAGAAGAAATAGCTATCTGAGGTGCACTTGAATGAAGTTTTATCTTTTCCCATGGGCTGATTGAAATTTCGAAGAATGTTTTTCAATCCATATGTCTTATCTGCCAACCTTTGTTGGTCTGAGAAGATAAACGACAATTACATCTTAGTTATAGATTAACTTGACATCAGTGTAACATATGTTATAGATATTTTAAAAGTGCAATATAGGTCTTTCACAAAATAAACCAAGTTAAATGATGTTATTTATTCTATGATATTCTCAATAAGGTCTTGCTTCTTGAAAATAGAATTTATTTGTCCTGCTACTGGCAAATTTCTGAATCAAGTTTAGAATTTTTTTTCCAGGGCGAAAAGGATGACAAAATCATAGCAGTATGTGCTGATGATCCTGAGTTTCGCCATTACACAGACATCAATGAGCTTCCTCCTCATCGTCTGCAAGAAATCCGCCGCTTTTTTGAGGACTGTATCCACACATTTGAACTCTATTGTTTGGGTCACTTGCAGCCATTATTCTTTCTGATAAATATTAAATTTGTTGCTATCCTGTTGAATTTTCTGAATAGTTTATACACCCGATTATGTTTACTATCTTTTGATCATCTGCACTATATGCTGTAAATCCTTTACCGTGAATAACAGACAAAAAGAATGAGAACAAGAAAGTTGATGTGGAAGACTTCTTGCCAGCTGAGGCTGCCATCAGTGCCATCAAGTACTCCATGTGAGTTTTTTTTTTTTTTTTTTCACTTTTTGGCATAAATTGTTAAATTTGTTTAACCTACTATTCATGATCTTTAAATGTGTTTAGTTTTCAGAATAATGAAGTAACCATCAAGTAATATATATCTTGCTAGATCAATACGTCAATTACCATTTCTCTTATATAAATGTAATATATTGCAGGGATCTTTATGCGTCTTACATTGTTGAAAGCTTGAGGCAGTGAATTTATTTGGAGAATGTTCAGTGACTATGACACAATTTAGTATTTATAATACTAAGGCTAGACTTCTTGCTATATGCCCGTTTGCTGAACTTCTATCACTTGAATGTTCAATGGCCAAGTTTCACTTGTGCTTATTATGAATATATAACTGGATATGCTTGTTTCAACTTGTTGAATGAAATTTACTTATGCTTGGGCTATGCTTGGTCAATATTAAAGTTCTAACTGTTTCTCAACCCTTCTTCCCTCGACTTTTCTTTTCTTTTTCTTTTTTTTTTTTTTTTTTTTTTTTTTTTTTTTTTTTTTTTATGGCTTGTTTCAACTTGTTGAATGAAATTTACTTATTGCTTGGGCTATGCTTGGTTCAATATAAAGTTCTAAAAAAAACTTTGTTTTTTTTCTCAACCCTTCTTCCCTCGACTTTTCTTCTTTCTTTTTTTTTTTTTTTTTTTTTTTTTTTTTTTTTTTTTTTTTTTTTTTTTTTTTTTTTTTTTTGTTTTAAATATCAAGACATGAAAAGCTAATTTTGAAAATGGCCGGATAAGGAGTGGAAAAAAAAAAAAAATATTTAGATGAATTTTCAGTTGTACCAAATTTTTAAAAATGTTTGATCGTACCTTAAACTTGAAAGACAGTTTCAGTTGCACCCAGCAGGAAAAATTGAAAAAGATGTTTTAGGCATTATTCGGTAATAATTTTTTTAGTAGTTTTTAGCATTTTGATTAAAAGTTATTTTTTATAGTATTCGATAATATAGTATTTGAATTAGCTTTTAGAGGTTAAAATAACATTTTATAAAAGGTTAATTTATATAATGTTTAGTTTTTTAGTGTTTTATGAAAAACTATTCATACAGTTAAATTAAATTAAACGTTACTAAAATAATTTATAACTATCAAAATAATTAAATTTTGCTGAACATGACCCTTAATATTGCTTTAAATAGTTCTTTCATTTGTTCTCTATTTCCCTCTTTCTGAGTCTAAATTCCATGCAATTTTTATCTTTTGTATGAGAAAAGATTAGATTGAAAAAAGTTGAAAAAAAAAAGCCTTTTTCCATTTAAAAAAGGGTTAAAAAAATGGATACCAAAAAAAAAAGGGGGGGAAATTACCTCTAAGGAGATTCTTTGGGCAACTGGGTATTGCCTAATTGCCTTGATGCAAGCCAGAGCTTGAGAGAGAATTAGTGAAGCAATGGTAGAATCGTTACACCTGTCTGTAATTAGAATATGATTGACATGTATACATGTTTTATATGAGAATGTTACTTGATAAAGTAAACATGTATCTACTTTGAACCTGGGCATTTTCTATAATGCCTTGAAGGAAAGGAAAATCAAGGTAATCAAATTTTTATAATAAATTAAATTTTTAAATGCATAATAATTTATAATAATTTAAAATATTTCTCAATATTCTGTAATAACTAATTATTTTCTGTAAAATAATTTTCACAAAATAAGAAATATGTTCATCAAATTTTGTAATATTTCTTCATATTTCATAAAACATGGATGTTCATTATAAAAATTGATGGGATAATTATAAATTTAGTGTTTAAACATTTTAAAATTTTCTATTTTGGTGTCTGATCGGAAAAGTTTTACAATTAAGTATTTAAATTATTTAAAATTTTTCAATTAAGTGTCTATTGCCTATATGGACAGCCGAAATTACTACTAGGACAGCTGGGATCCACAAAACAATAGTAAATATGCTGAATAGGCTGATTATGAGTGAGCCATGTAGGCTCATATGTACAGCATATGATCTGGTATCTAAAATTACTAACTTGCCCTTTTTATCTCTATCCCCTTCAAGCAGCAAACTAAAAGAGTCATGAAGTCTCAAACCCGGCTACTGTAGAATTTGTTTACATTACACCATCATCTTCCTTATACTCCTCCAAAACCATCCAACAAAATTTCACTCTAGAAATTTGCGAAACAATCTTAATCACGATATCAAAAGATACATTTTAGATCTTTTCCCTCTATCTCAGGACTGTTATACATTTAAGGCTTGCCGGAAAATTTGAAAAATCGATTCCGTTAGATTATTTGAAAAATCTGTTAATGGCAGTCTCTACGGTTGATGGTGATTTCTAAAGTTGACGGCAATATCTAACAATGATTTTTCATAAGTGTACGAAGTCGCAACAAGTAATATAGAATGAGAAGAATATCGTATTTACAGAGATTATATACCAAGTACAAAAATTATGTTAACTTATTGTTATTTAAACGGCAATAAGGGGAATTATATTTAAGAACTAACTTCAGTAAATAAAAGAGAATAAGAAGAAATCAAGCAAGACAATTTGATGAAAAGAAACAGAAGGAAATCAAGCAAGACAATTTGATGAAAAGAATCAAGGATTAAAAAACTACTAGGGATTTGACTTCACTTAATTCTATCCAATTTTTTCTATTGTTTGATAATCAATTTTAATTGTTCAAGTAGGGAGAAACAAACCCTAAAACTACTAACAAGCTCTCCCGATGTATTGTTAGTTATTTAAACCAGGTTGTTAATTATCTATCTTCCAATAGTGCAATCAAAACATGAATTAATCATTAAGTTTATGGTTTGTTTTATGAATTCATAACTTAAGGTCGTTAACTTATGAAAACCCCCCAATGGGAGTCAAACTATATAGCTTTCGCATCAAGTTATTATTCTCATGTAATTTTATATACTTTTTATATCAAAAATCTTCTCCGATAGTTGATTAAAGAAATAATCAATCCAGGGAAGAAACTCTGCCTTGGAAGTAATTAAGTTTATCAATTAATAAGAGTTATGCTGGTTGAACAAGAGGAAAAGGCAAATCTAATATTATAAATTGAATCGGAATTAAGCTAATATTATAAATTGAAATCGAAATTAAGCAACATCAAATCCCTAGAACAAAAATTTAGTTCGACATAGTAATTAAATAAAATTCAATTAAACTTGTAAATAATCCTATAAAGAATAATAAGCAAAAAGAGAGTTGAGAAATAAAAACTAGTCAACGATAGGCTTGAACGGCTTCCTTGAATCTTGACACAACTCTTGAGCACTTAAAGTCTTGAAGAGAGAAAACTTTGTAGAAAATAATAGAATAAGAGATGTAATATACAATGAATGGCTCCCTTTCGAATAGATAGTCTCTCTCTTTATATAGACTCTCTGGGATATGTTCGTGTTCGTTTAGAAAAGTGAATCTTTATCGAGTAAGAAATCTTTTAGAGATAGAAAACTGTTTAGACTTTGTATTTCTTCCCAATTAGGACTCTTCCAATGCCTAGATAGGAAATAAGCTGATTTCCTATAAAAATCCTATAAAATTCCTCAAGATCAAGTGAAGTGAAATATGATTCCAGGACGCTTTACACAAAAATATAAATAAAACTAAATAAAAACTAATTAAAGTAATTAAAAAATACTAAAAATCCTAATACAAACTATATTAGATACTATAAAAATAACACCTATCAATATTTTTAGTATCATTTGAAAAATTGATTCTGACAGATCTGATTTTAGATCTGAGATGTGCATTTGTTGATGCTCCATTCAGATTTTACAAATCGATGGAGTTCCATTATTTAAGAATCATAGTCGCTTATTTAGCTTCCATCGACTTTTGTTTTCAAATTCAGATGGAGGATAAGGAAATTAGAAGTATATGTAGATTTGAATATAATGGAAGTAATTTTTAGTTTACGAAAAATAGTAAAGGGAAAGCTTTAATTTTTGGGTTTCTATCGTTTTGTTATGCATGAAGCTTTGATGAGAGAGAGAGAGAAAGAGAGAACAAGCTGGAAGCACAAGAAATCTGGTGGTGCCACTCATATTCTAGCACATTAGACATGAGAGATGGGCAAGGGATAACTTAGTCATTTCAATCTCAAAGACATGTGCATCTCCTACGAGTCCTACATGGCGCACTCATAATCAGCCTACTCAGCGTATTTACTACTGTTTTGTAGGTCCCAGCCGGCCTAATGATAATTCCGGCTGTCCATATAAACAATAAACACTTAATTGAAAAATTTTAAATGGTTTAAGCATATGATTGCAAACTTTTTCCCATTAGACACCAAAATAGAAAATTTTGAACAATTCAGATACCATATTTATAATTGTCTCAAAACTGACAATTTACAAGATAATAATAAGTATTATTGTAAATATGTAGTAACATTTTAAATATCTTATAAAAAATGATTATTTTTTGTAATAATTCCGATTACTAATATTTTGTAATGGTTCTCAATAATTTGTTAACAGTAGTAGTTTTTTATAAAATTAATGGATTACAAAATAATGGCTCCAATTGCCAAGATTTTGTAATATTTTCTGATACTTTGTAAAAAGTAATTGTTATTTGTGAAATTGCCCGATTCTAAAATAATAGCTTCAATGTCAATATTTTGTATAAAGGTGGTTGTTTATTTTTTGTTACTTAGAAAGTTTGCTTGATGTTGACTTAACATGTTTATGAACTGTGCATGTGAGAGAGGCATTCTTCAAGAAGTGAAGCAGAACAAGGAAGTGACAGAGGAGGAAACTAAGAACAAAGGCAGAAGCTTTTCCATTATAGATGGAAGGGAAACCATAGCATTGTATCGAAGGTTCTTCAACTCAACTATCCCTGCACACTATCCAGTTGAAATGATCGAGTATATGCAAAATAATTAAAGAGTAACATTGCTACTTTATATTAATGGACCCAGCAAAACTAAAAATTTAATTTTTTGAATTAATTATTCATTCTAATATTGATAATTAAGTTTAATTAATTAATAATACTATTTATATTCAACGTGCTTCTTCTTGCATCACAACCACTTCAATCTCTGAATTTTCAACAACGCCATAATGAGCCGGAGAAAATTAATCACTCATTACCTTATTTTTATGGGTTAAAATCAAATAACTATAAACAATACCCCATTTTCTTTCGATTTTGCCCCTCAAACTTGCCACAGCAGTTGTTGCTCTTACCCGCAAAACCGATTCTTTGTCAGAAAACTTCAACACAATATTGAATTTTGCAGAATTGGGAGGTACCAACTCAAGACCAAGCTTGACAAATTGTTTACAACCATAGGATTCAAGAGAGCGATCATCTTCCAATTTTTGATCATTACAAGAGAGACTTTGTGTTTAGACTTTGTACTTCAAACTCTTTTCAATCTTTTGCTTTACTTGAAGAATTGTTGCATTCAATGCAATATGAAAATCAGTTGATAATTGATCTATTGTGACCCTAACACTCACCATCTCAACTAAAGGAAAATAATCTTGTTCTTCCATTTTTTTTTTTTTTTCAATTTTTTTCCTTTGATTAGTATGCAAGTTATTAGTGAAATCAACTCTATATACGATAAGAAGAATAGAAGAATCATGATTTTTTTTTTTTAAATATGAAAAAGTCATTTCTTGAAAATTGAAACGTAATTAGATGAATTGTCTAATCACTCTAATGTATATCTAATGATATTTATCATTTATAATCACAATTATATTAACATTTAAAATTATGAAATTTTTTCAGAACATGGAAAAGTCATTTCTTGAAAGTTAATTGTGATAATCGTGTAAGTGTTATGCTTTCTGTCTCTGCTGGCTATGGTGGTGCACTTAAGACAATCCCTGAAGAGATAACAGAGATATATTAACTGCGTCTTATGGGGTCTATAGGATTGGGCTTCTTAGCTAGGGACTGACAAGGTGTTTTTTCAGCAACAAAAAATTTCTTTCTGCAGATAACAGAGGCTGAAGCAATGGCAATATGAGAGGCATTGAGCTGGATCAAAAATGTCTTAGTTTATGTTTATGCAAAGAGATCTGCGAATGAAGCTGCTCATTTGTTAGGAAGGTGGCTCATTTCGGGTCAATGCAGGGAGTGGATTGCTTGCCCTTATTTTATCATTCATGCTTTATGTTTTGAGTGGTCAGAGTTTCCATTATTTCCAAATATATATATTAGATACAAATATTACAATAAAACTTCCTTTCATATTTTTTATCTCAAACAAAACTTGGTGAGTTCTTTTTTCTTTTTTTAGAAAAAATGAAGTATAGAAATAAAAACTAGTCATGTTTACTTGCGATGCACGGATAATGCAAATTTATATTTTTATTGTTTTATATAAAAATTTTTCAGAAAATTCTAATAAAATGTTTACTTAATCACCTCTTATAAATGACAACCCAAAAAAATATAAAACACAATAAATTATAAATATGTTAGAGTAGTAAAATGTCTATATATATATATATTAACATCTTAATTAATTTCAAGAAAAAATATGATATCAAAAACTATGGTTAGTAAATAAATTAATATCCAAATATGAGCTAAAAATATAAAAGAAGTAAGGAATGCGCACAAAAGCCCAGCACCATTGGATATTGCCAACAGTTATATTATAATAGTTAAATATTAAAAAAGATAAAAAAATTCAATAAAAGTATTAAAAAAAGATGAAGCAAGAAAGAGAAAATTAGATATTGTATTTATTAGTGAACAATGGTGGTACATCGAAAAGGAGCCTTTCAATCAGAAAATTTAGTACGCTTAAAATTCTCAAGTTATAAAATAAAAATTTAATTAACATAATAAATTATCAGTAATTAATGGATATTGGATTTTTTTTTTTTTTAATTATAAAGCCTACAATCACCTATTTTTCCTTTATCAAATCAGCATTTCAAAGCTCTATATTCATGCCATGCAACTTTTAAGGTTCTGTTTTTATACATTTACTGGTGCTGAAAGTATATACATAAACAAAACTTTTTATAAACTTCCTAAAAATAACTCCTTATATGAATTCTTTTTTAATAACTTTAAAAAACAACAGAAACTATATAACTAATTATAAATTTAAAAATACAAATAGACACAGATATATTAACTGCTTCAACCCCCTTTCGCTGTCCGCTTGCGTTTAATTTCATATGTATTCCTGAATCGCTCACACAGCAACTATAATGTTTACTTCCCGCCGTTCTATTCGTTACCTCAACGTCCTCGCCGCAATACCCATTAACGGCAATTCTAAAACCACCACTTGTATTTTTAGCATAGCTAGATTTCATTACCGTTATGCTCAGGCCTATAACTTGTTCGATACATTTCCTCAAAGAGAGCTATACTCTCTCAACTCTCAACTCGCTTCTTTTACTCGTAACGGCAACTTTCTTGCCACTTGGTCTCTCTTTTGCGACATGCATTCTGCTTGCCTTGAGTTTGATCCTCACACTTTCACCCCACTTCTCTCCGCTTGCTCTGCTTTGCTTGACCCAAAACGCGGGAAGCAAGTCCATGCTTTGATGATAAAAAATGGAATTGATTTAGGAACTGTTACTAAAACTGCAGTTGTTAATATGTATTCCAAGTATGGTTACTTGAGTGATTCGATTAAGGCTTTTGAAGAAGTGGAATACCCAGATGTTGTAACTTGGAATTCTTTGCTTTCAAGCTTTTTAAGGCACAGTCTTGTGAAGGAAGCATTTGGTGTTTTTGGAGCAATGAGGAAGGAAGGAGTGGAATTTAGTGAGTTCACATTGTGTTCTTTGCTTAAGGCTTGCACCTCTTTTAAGGCTTTTCGACTAGGTAAACAGGTTCATGGCTTGGTAGTTGTGATGAGTCGTGATTTGGTGGTTTTGGGTACTGCTCTTATTGATTTTTATTCTAGTGTTGGGCATGTTAGTGAAGCAATGAAAGTCTTTTCTAGTTTGAGTTGGAGAAAGGATAATGTGATGTGTAATTCTTTGATTGCTGGATGTATTCAGAATAGGCAACATAAACAGGCATTTGCAATAATGAGTACTATGAAACCAAATGTTGTTGCACTTACTAGTGCTCTTGTAGCTTGTTCTGAGAATTCAGATTTGAGGGTTGGGATGCAGATTCATTGCGTGGCAACACGTTTTGGTTTTACCTCAGAAACTCAATTATGCAACAAATTAGTAGACATGTATGCAAAATGTGGAAAAATTTTGACAGCTAGATCATTGTTTGATAGGATTCGTGATAAGGATGTAGTTTCTTGGACTAGCATCATTGATGCATATGGAAGGCATGGGCATGGGCAGGAAGGCTTGGAACTGTTCAAGAAGATGGGACAGGAGGGAACTATGATCTCACCTAATTCAGTGACTTTTCTTGCTGTTTTATCAGCATGTGGGCATTCAGGATTAGTCGAAGAAGGCCGAGAGCTTTTCAATTTGGTGAGGGAAAAATATGGTCTGGAGCCAGGTGTAGAACATTATTCTTGCTGCATAGATATCTTAGGCCGAGCTGGCAGAATAGAGGATGTATGGCACCTTTTTCATGATATGAATAAGAATGGCACTAGACCTTCAACTGAAATATGGGCAGCATTGCTGAATGCTTGCAGGCTTAATCTGGATGTCTTGAGGGGTGAGTTTGCAGCAAAGCAGTTGTTGGAATTACAACCAAATAACCCAGCGAATTATGTAATGCTTTCAAATTTCTATGCATCAGTTGGAAGGTGGGACTTAGTAGAAAGCTTGAGAAGCCATATGAAAGATAATGCACTAATTAAAGAGGCAGGGAGTAGCTGGGTTTCTGTTGCACATTGATTCCAACTTAACTATAAATTTGAAAATGAAGAAGTGTTTAAATTTCTTCACCTTTTAGGCACCGGATGATCTGACAAGCAAAAAAATTTTTTGAGAGGCAGAGACACTGTGAATGAGAACAGAATAAAAGACAAAAGAGGTTTGTCAAAGATAAAAGAATGAGAAGAGATTATACGAGACTAGAGAAGGAAGAATAACAGAGGAGCCTGAAAGAGACTAGAGAAGGAAGAATAATATAGGAGCCTGAAAGAGACAATCCCCAACAGTGTGTTAATGGATGTCAAAAGGCCGCATCTAATTGCACCCAGGCACAAGAATATTGTAGCGATTCAAGATGTAGAAATTCTACTGGTCACAGAGGTAAATGATTTATTCTTCTTTTACTTGTTGCTTGTAATCCTATTCCACCTGAATTTGTTAACCAGCATGTGTGATAGAGCCAGCTGGGCTAAAGATTGTGCCACTTGATTTGTTTTGCGATGCACATATGTGAGAGTAAACTGAACCTGTTAAGTAAATAATTAATGTCTCCTACAGCAGCACCATAATAGGTTTGCTTTGGCTGTTTATGGGCAAGAGTGCAATGATGACAGTGATGCAATCAATCTCAAAGTCCAAGTTAGCAAATCCAAGCTCCAGCGCCATCTGGATTCCAAAACGCATAGCTTGAGCTTCTGCAACTTCAATGTCAAAACAGGCTTAGTCCTTTTCAAACCCTGCTGCTGTTGCTTCCCCTTTGTGGTTTTACACCATTAAGACGAGTTCCAGCTTCCCTGAAGAGCCAAGCGTCTGCCTTAAGTTTGCATTGACCATCAGATGGAGATGTCCATTTATTGGGTCTGCTATGCAGAAAGATCTGAACCTCAGAGGTGTAGAGCTAGATTACAGAGATGCTGAAGAACAGCTGAACTTGTGGTGTGATTTTCATTCCTTAATAGCACAGTGAGTTTTCTGAAATATATATATATATATATATATATATATGTTTTTCTTTTATGTCAAGGAAATCTAACTCTTAAACTTTCAGTCTTATTGCTCATTGGAATGAGGAATTTTTTGATTAAAGAAAGTTAGTTTTTTAGTTTTAACTAACCCTTATCTTTTGGCCCTGCAGGGAAAAACTCCAGCAGAGAAAACATTCGTGAACCTCTAGCTCAGGGAAAAGGCAGAGAGCAATGTAATTAATCAGCTAAAAGAATTATTAAAGTTTTCCATCTCTTCTTTCTTTTTTTAAATTACATTTTTCAATGACTTTTTTATTCACAATTTGTTTGTAGATATTAGCAAAGTCTAGATGGTACTATCAGGTCAAGTACAGAAGAACTGGACTTGCTTGCATTGTTTTGAATGACATGTATGTAGCATTTTCCTTGCAGTACTTTTCCTTTGCATGATTTTGTTCATCTATTTTTTATTTTTTAGTTTTCCTTTGAGTTTAACAATGTCAAAACGGGCTGTCCAGCCGGCGCAGCCCGTGCGGACTCGATCCCAAAACGGACCGAGTCAAAAGTTCGTTAAAAAATATGCCTCTAATATTCAGGCTCGGCCCGGCCCGCACGAGCCCGGACATGTCTGTTTTCTAAAAATGCTTTTTTACTACTTTGGAAATAAAATGCTGTCTTTGTACGGGGATTTTGACGTGAAATGTGTTGTAATAAAATGTTGAACATATTATTACAACAGATTCTTCTGTTGGCAGATACTTGGGCTTCATAGTGATCGGTGCCAGTTCTACGTACTGAAGCTGCTTTAACTTAAGCTTACAGAAAAGCTACTCTTGTGTAAAGTCAAGACAAATTACAACTATGTGATGCCATCATTCAGCTGATGCATAATTGTAAGAAGTTCATTACTCTCTCCAAGGTGCAATCCTGGCATTCTAAATCATATAAATATAAATTGAATGCTCAAAAATTAACACTGAATGCTTTACAATCTTAATCTGGATATTTTAATGTGTGACTTAGCTGCAGAGTGACCCCTTGGAATTGGAAAAAGAAAATTTCAGGGAAGTTTCTGCTTCTAAAATTTCCTTTACATCTTCTTCTATGCTTATTTTTTTATCCCTGCCATTTTCTAGATGCTCAACTAAGTTAAGCTAGAGGTGTATTTGAGTATCCAGAACTTATGATATTTGGTCAAGCTATTTTTCTTGACAATGACTTCTTGTTAAAAAGGGAATAAAGATTGAACTAGCCTCAAGAAAGTTGCGAAAGCTCATATTCAAAAACCCACCAATTAGTGATTCAGTACTTTGTGCCATAGCCGTTACTTATTTGTCAACCACTATAAGTCATCAAAGATCACAGTATTCCAACTGTCTAACATCATGAAGATTATTTTTGCTTGAATTCTGGAGAAAAATATGTTATTGAAAATATTGGTTAAAGGGCATTAAAGCTTTTTTTTTTTTTAATAAATTTGCATATTTTAGTCATATGCTTTTTTTTTTTTTTTTTTCTATGCCTTTATTTTTATCACTGCCATTTTCTAGATGCTAACTAAAGTTAAAGCCTAGAGGTGTATTTGAGTAAATCCAGAACATTATGAAATATTGTGGTCCAAGCTTAATTTTTCTTGAGCAAATGACTTCTTGTTAAAAAGGGAATAAAGATTGAACTTAGCCCTCAAAGAAAAGTTGCGAAAGCTCATAATTCAAAAAAAACCCACAGCAATTAGTGGATTAGTCAGTTACTTTGTGCCATAGCCGTTATGTATTTGTATTTGTCAACCACTAATAAGTCCATCAAAAAGATCACAGTATTCCAACCTGTGCTAACATCATGAAGATTATTTTTGCTTGAATTCTGGAGAAAAATATGTATTTATTGAAAAAATATTGGTTAAAGGGCATTAAAGCCTTTTTTTTTTTTTAAATAAATTTGCATATTTTAGTCATATGCTAATTTTTTTTTTTTTTTTTTGGTAATCTTTTTTTTTTTTTTTTTGGGTAATTCATATTCCATTGCCGGTTTATTGAATTAAAACCGTTGATTTATTGAACTGAGCCTTACCTCTGAAGGAGAAGTTGGATCTTGACTTTAAAGAAAAAATGAAAAAAATTTACAGAAACGGTCAAACTTGAATTTGAAGAAAAAGACATGGCAAGTGATATTTATCTACACATATTAAAAATGACTAATTCTTCTTTCAAAAAAAAAAAAAAAAAGACTAATTCTTAATTAATTATGTATAGCTAATTCATATAAAATAATTAAGTTATTTCTAATATTTGTATTTATAAGACAAGTGTATTAGCTATGTATAAATAATTTTATATGGCAAGTGTATAACCATGCTCGATAGACTTAACAATAGGAATGACCATTGAAGTAGTTTAGACCCAATCAAATTTAAAATAGCAAAGGAATTCCAATCCTAAACCAGTTTTGGATATCAAAACTAATTGAATTGAGACTGGTTAATCATCTGGTTCTACTCTCCCATGTCTTGAATTACTGATTCATCAAATTGAGACCGGTTAGTTTATTCAATCAGAACTATTTATGCAGTGAATCAAAGAATTCTAACCTAAAAAAAAAAAAAGTTTAAATTTGATAGTATGTTAAAGTATAACCTGGCGCTAAATGCATGTATGACTTAAAATAATCTAACTTCCTTTTTTTTTTTTATGCTCAACAACAGAAAAATTGACATTAAGTGGACTTGGCTCCTCACTTTTCAAATTAAAACACATCGTTTCACTTATAAGCGAACTTAAAAATTAGTGGATAAGTGATTGGAAAAATTTAAGTGTTTGATTAATAAGTATTTGAAAATTATTTAATTTCTCATAATTACATAAAAAAACATATACTAATCAAATGAAATTCTAAAAAAATTTAAAAAAAATAGAATATTGTTATTATTTTTTTACTTATTAAAATTTTATAATATACTAGTTAATTAGGTGTAATCTAGTTGATTTTCTAAGTAAAAGATCTTGAATTCAAGTACTCGTTTAAACAAGTAACATTTTATAACCTATTCTCAAATTTTAAATATCAGTATAAACGCTGTGTTAGCCGGTGTTAGTGTTTTGATTGAAAAATAATTGAGAGCTGGCCTTGGAAGTAACTTCGACTGACTTGAAGCGAAATTAATCATTTTTCCTAAAAAAAAAAAAAAATGTCTAGTGATTTTGATCTACAATTATTGAGAATGCATGATTAGGCTCATTTTCCATGAGGGGCTTTGAAATCTGAATTTCAAAATTTTTTTTTTAAAAAAAGAAAAACTTGTTGCGGTGGTTGGAGCTGCACAAGAAGTCAAAAGAAAGTCGGAAGTAGCCACCTTCTTCTCTTCACGATAGGACGAAGAAGAAGAGCCGTGACCGCCTTAAAAAATCTACAGCCTCACCAAACTTGCATTAAACAATACAAACCGTAAGTAACAATTAGCAAACCAATTATGACTGTCTAACCAATAAATATTCTAAACTAAGAAAGCTTAGACAATTTCCTTTCTTAGCTTCCATCATCCATCCCCACCTAATCTCTCTCTCTCTCTCTCTCTCTCTCTCTCTATTTCTTGTAGGTGAAGTCGTGAACTTTATCTTGCAATTCCCATTCATTTCCTTTTACCATCAAAACCCATGTTTAGAGCACTGAGCACAAGAAGAAGCCAACACGGCGGCTATGAAAAGTTGGCCGATGAGTCTACCATCGGTCTTCTTCCACCGGCCGAGGCACCAACTTTGAAGAGGTCTAAAACTGTGCCGTCTAGAGTGCTTGTTTCTTCGACTAAATTACCCTCAGAATTGCCCTTGCCAAAGGTGAAGAAAGCTAATTCTAAGAGTCACCCGCTATTCAGTCTCTTTGATTCTCGCCGGAAAAAGAAAGCTACGGCTAAGCCCGAGTTTACGAGGTATTTAGAGTATGTGAAGGAAGGAGGAGTGTGGGATGTTAATTCAAATATGCCTGTTATATATTATAAATGAGAAGCTATTTATTTATTAATCAATCTTGATTTGTATATATGTTTAGCTCTATTGAATTTATAAGGTTTCATATTCAAATTTTTTGGATTGAAGATTTCAAATTTCATTTTTATGTTGAGTAGTAAGAGATCAACTTCTAAAAATTTTTTTAAAAAAAACTACAGATAAATTTTAGTATATTATTTAAATTATTAGTCCATTAAATATTTAATTTGACTAAACTTGAATATGTGTTTTCATTTTTACAGGATTAAAATCACTTATTATTCTAATTTTTCGGTAAATTTACTCCTTTATTACAAGCATAAAATAGAAATTCATGTGTGGGCGCACATTATTTACATTTTTAACAAAAAAACAATACTCTATAAAATTTTTCTATTCTAAATAGAAAATTTTCTAATCAATTAATCTATTGTTTCTCTTATTTATGTTCAAACAAGTTCAATTATTGTTAAAATTTTGAAAATATAAAGGCATCATTATTTTTTTTTTTCTCTCGATAAATAATTCATTATTATATATTACCTTCGTTCTATAATATTTGACACATTTAAAAAAAAAATTTATTCAAAAAAAATTTATTCTAAAATAATTATCACATTTGTGATTTCAACGAGTAATTAAATTTTTTTTTCCACGTTTATCATTTTTATATGACTAATAATTATTGCTTCAATTCTTCAAAAAGATTTCTTTCTCTTTATTTATTGCTACTTGTTTGTGTTCTCAAAATCTCTTAACCATTATGATCAGACAAAACATGAGAATTGAAGAGTCTAAAATTTAATTTGGTGTTTAGATATATTAAATTAAGGATAGCATAGTCAATTTACTCAATCATTTATTATAATTTAAACAAATTTAATGATTTTCTTAAGAGACGTGAAATTCCAAATGTAACAAGTATAATGGAACAAAAGTAATAAATTTGTTAGATTCGACTAATTTAATTTTTTGCATCGTTCTTAACTTAAACTAGTAAGCGCAAATGTTATTATTTTTTCCCTTAAAGTTTAAGAAAATATAGTAAATGCTATGAAACTCTTATTTTGTACATCAGTCATCCTTTTATATCTTGTATGTACACTTTATTTTGCAATAAATTCACTTTTAAATTAAATAATTAATAAGAGATACAATAAAATAAATATATTTTTCTCAAAAAAATAGAAAAATTAATTCCAAGAATCTTTAATTTTATAAATATGAGCATGTATTTTGAGAATTTTGACAAAAAATAATTCTTTTATAAAAATTAAAATTATTTACAAATCTGATTTCAAATGAAAATTAACTAATTTAATCTTTGTCCTACCATGGAGAGAGAATGTTACATTAAAATTACCAACTCCATTAGCAGTTTCAGTGCAATATAAAAAGTAACTTATATTGACAAAATATGAGCAAAAACTAATCAAATGACCTTTTTACTAAGATACACAATTCATATGGTGATTTTAGTATAAATATGAAATGTGACCACCAGTTAGCAAAAGGTAAACGAGAGAATAGTATTTTGTTTAAAGTCCATCATGTTAACTAATGGTTTCAATAAAAAAAATTTTATTTATTTAAAATATTTTTTCATCAAAACAAACATATTATTTGGTGGTTTTGGTCATAAATATTTCAAGTTAAGTAATAAAAACATAAGCTTCCTTACACAATTATAAATTATCAATAGTAATAAAGTGCTTTGAGTTGAATTTGTATTATGTTAAAAATTTTTTAATAACTAATACATGAAAAATTAGTCATATTAATGTCTATGTCTTCCTGTACCACATCTTGGAGGCCTCCTATTATGACATGAATTTCGGTGCACTACATCTTCTCTATGCTTTGATATTCTTCTCCATGGTCAATATGTACATCGATACTCATGCAAAGAGCTTGAATTATATTCACAATATTTATGTAATGTGAAAAGTGTTTTCCTCTTTAATAAGAGAATGTGAATATGAAAGAGTAGAGTGTTGTACATGGAAGATGGAGCTACATAGTTAAGGGAATCAATTTCCTGCACCATATTTCAATCCATCACATACACCATGATACAATTGTTGTATTTATCATGGCTCGTCCAAATAAAACCTGTATAACTTACAAAAATATATTGACTAGTAGTGTTAATGTAAATTGATTGTACTTATTAAGCTCTCAGAATTTGAGGTGTAATAAATTGTGAATTAATTCATCGTTGGAGTTAATTTGGAGTATATATACTAGATTTAGAATAATCGTGTTAGGACAAGAATTATGAGTCCTACATTATCTATTAGTTAGAGTTTATTTAGGAGTCTAGTATTATTGTTTTATTATTGTATGTTAACAGTAGTTCACGATTAGTTATTTGGTCATCTTATGTCTAAATGTAGTATTTATGTATTTTTAGTGTCTGTTTATTTCATTAGTTCCTTGTTTTTTGCAAGATTTTGTTTTGTTGTTTATTGTGAAGGCTGTCATTTATGACAACTTTATTTTGCAAAGAACGGGGCATTGGTTTTGGGTGGGGGTACTTGAAGAGTTGCCTTATTAAATGAGGTGCCTCTTCAGTTGCCTCACCTAGCCTATATAAGGCCACTTCCTTACTTCATTTGCTTCACTTATCAGAAATTGATCCTCAGAGCATCTGTCTCTAGATTGTTTCTCTCTCTAACTTCTTCCAAGTAAGTTCAATCTGCTCCTTTCCTCCTTTTCCCATTTTGTTGGTTGGGGTCATAGGGTCCTCTAGTGACGAGGATGTCTAGATGTTACATGATCAGTCCGGTGACAAGCATGCTGGGGACATGGACTTGGGGGTGGGGGAAGCCAAGGGTAGGAAGGAGAATGTCAGAATCGCCAACATACCGCTCGATATTGACGAGGGCGAGCTACTGGATGTATGTTTTACATATAACCTTTCACCAGACTACAAACTGATTAGGCCTTCAGAGGTCATGAGGGTAACTGAGCCGTTAGACGGAGATTCTATTACAATGTATGAAGAAAGTTTTCGATCCGGGGTTCGGTTTCCTTTATCCGAACCACTGAAATCATTTTTCAACGAGTACAACATTACTATCAGCCGACTATACCCTAATGGCTTGAGGCTCTTGTATGGCCTAATAGCATTGGCTAGTTAAGAAGGGTACAATGTGACGGCTAGGGCAGTTCGAGAGCTTTATCATTTCTCCATTCGCCCAATAGAGACCACTGCTTCCTCCAAGCAAAGAACAATTACAACATTTTTTCAAATAAATCTAAGATTTCCTCTTTGAAAAATTGGAAATCAAAGTATTTCATTGTCAAATACCCTAGGGGGTTTGGAGTGCCAAACCATTGGTCTGAGGATCCGCTTCGCCACCTTCTTGCTTCACCCACTCCCTATGACCGAAACTGTGTGGAGTTAATAGAGGCTAGGGGACTTGGTTCTGTTAATCTGAGGCGGGTGATAGCCGAGGGTTATCTGACCTGTACCCTCAGTGGACCCATGAGACCCAACCCTTCCTTCTCTAGTAAGCTTTGTCCTTAATCACTTTGCCTTTAGTTTTTAACACTAACATCTCTTAATTTTTTCCTCTCACGTTTGTGTAGGCATGGCTCCTAAGAAGACCAAGAGTTCTAGAATGGCCAAGGTGTCCGAGGTCATGAAGAAATAGGCTGCAACTAATAGTTCGGGGAAAGAAGTTCCTCCAGCAGTGCTGGATCCTCAACCAACTGAGGCTGAAGCTGTTTTGGGAGGTTCTCATTCCGAGTTTGCCCTCTTAAGCCCTACGACGGAGTCTCGTCGAAAGAGGCAGAGAGAAGAGCCGATCCCTATTCCCCCTTTTGTGCCTTCGAGAGCTGGCGAGGCTTTGGATATTCGAGGCTATTTTATAAAGAAGTATGGGGTGAACTACAGTCTCCAAAAGGATGGGCTTAGTCGGGAGATGGCTCGCAACTGTCTTTTTCCAGCAGATGTTTGGTACTTCGATCATATGGATGACATGGCGAGGAAATTTTATCAATCAGTGCCTATTCTAAGCGTTGAACTCTAACAATTTGAGTTTTGCTCGGATAACTAAGCTAAAAGGAGGTTATACCAAGATGGAAGTAAAGAAGAATAAAATGGAAAACACATTAAAGAGCGCTGAAGCTGCTGTGAGGGGGCAGGAGGCTCGGCACAAAGCTGATATCAACGCTCGTGATGCCGAGCTTGAGAAGTTAAAGGAGGAGAACTGGGATCTATTGGCCAAGAACAGGGACTTAGAGCTAAGGAGGTGAATGAGGAGCTGCAAGGACTTCAGAATATGGAGGGGACAATAGCAGAAGATTTGTCAAAGGCGTGCTTGAGCCTTAGGACCAAAATTATAGCTGAGTTGAAGGTTAGGGATCCGAGCAAGGACTGGAGCTGGGTGAACGACATATTTCCTAATGATGAAGAGGAAGGGGAAAAGGAGGAGGGTGCTAAAGAAATTGGAGGTGATTCTTTACAAGAAGATCCTATCATGGATGGCTCGCCTCCACAGCAGGTGGATACTGAGGCGAATATTCACTCCATTTCTTCGGAAGGGCGAGGCCCTATTAGGGATTTGCCTTCAGGGCAAGATGCTTAGCTTAGGAATTGATTTATAGTTGGCTATAGGGAGATCGTTTTGTACTTATCTTTATGTAATAGCCCTTTTGTAATCAATCTATGTAACAATCTTATTTTTAATGAAGGTAGTTCTTATTCTATAAGTGTTGCATTTTCTTCTTTTGCCTTGGTAGTAATTTCTTTTGATTGTATCATGGATTGATGGTCATCTGGGCGAACTATGTATGTCCGAGCTAATGGACTTGGCGAAAAGGACGGCTTAGGTCATATGGGAGAACTATGTATGTCTGAGCTAATGGACTTAGCGAAAAGGATAGCTTAGGTCATACGAAAAGGACTGCTTAGGTCATATGGGTGAACTATGTATGTTCGAGCTAATGGACTTGGTAAAAGGGACTACTTAGATCATATGGGCGAACTATGTATATACGAGCTAATGGACTTGGCGAAAAGGACCGTTTAGGTCATCTGGTGAACTAATGTGAAGGCTGAAAA